ACTAAATGAATGGCCTGTGAAGGTAACATGTTTGGGGTGTGTGGTCAGCATCCCCTCCCGGCCTAGAAATCAACATAGTCTATAGCCCCTTTAGCCACCCTGGGCACAGCTCAGATACCCACATCTGGTCCTTCTCTCCTCTTGTCTAACTTCTCTTCCTCTATCTAGCCCCTCCTCCTGCCCCCACTGATTGGAGGAGGGGTGACATGCTAACCAAGGCCACAGCATCCACTGGCTGCCAAAATCTGTCGATTCTTTCTCTCAAAAATCTAAGAGACAAGGGCAGCAGTCATCAGGGGGTTCTGGGGTTAAACCATCAGGTGGAGGCAAGAGAACAAAAGTCACCGTGAGCCCAGGTCCCTAGGAAGAGTGACTGTCTGCAAAGGAAGGGGCTGGTCACAGCAGAGGGGGAGCTAAGTGCAGGGAGAGGCAACAACAACGTGGGACAGAGACCAAAGGGTCCCCCAGGGAACACCCCTAACCCAGAGAGACATCGACTGAGGGACCAGTCCTGACTCCAAGCGTTCACATCCCCACATCGAATGAGCTTGTGGGTCTTCGATTCCTACCCGTGGAGAATCCATGAGACCCCACCACCACGCCCTCACGACAACCTCCTCCTGCTCACTCGGGGGCGCTGTGTTCTGCACCCACAGAATCCATAGAGAAGGGACTAGTCGGCCCGCTGGGAATTTCTGTTATTGCGTCCTCCTTCCCTCCCTCCCTCCCTCCCTGTTCCCCAGAGTTAGCTTGAACAGACAAAACCATTAGCACTGCTACTGCAACTGCCTCTCACCGAGAGCCAACACCTCTCCTTTTCACAGTGGACCCCCCCACCCCACTGGCTTCACACAGGTCCTCTCACTGGCAAATCCTCCCCCTCCCATCCCACGTTAGCCCAATGATCTGAAACACTCAGGACTTATGCAACTGACTTGCCATACAAGTACTAGGTTTGACCTGATGAATTTATTTTTTAAGAAATGTTTGGGTGTTTGATAAATGCAAAATTCTTCACGGGAATTAGCAAAATCTGGGATAAATGAGAAAAGGTGTCAGCCTTCAGGAAGCTGACAATCCTGGGGACCAGGAGAAAGTTCTAGAAAAACAAATGGGAGAGTAATTTCAACTGGAGGACGCTTAAGAAGTCAAACAGGTAAGGTGGACTTCCCGTGAGTGATGGGGAGGAGAGGGCTCTGGGCGCTCCTGAGCAGGGCTTTGGGGGTTAGGGGGCACACGGTGGCCCTGCGTGGCCAGCAGCCTGCAATCGGGAGCGGGCACAGGAAAGGCGGGTAGGGCTGGGAAGAGGTGGACTGCACGGCCCACGAAAGAGCTGGCGGTTGAAAACACAGGCAATGGGGGTCCAGGGACACCCTGAGTAGGGAATCGCACAGTCAGGGTTCAGAGTCCATCCTCTGTGCTTTGAGTTACAGTCCTGAGGCGGACAGCACACATGGACAGTAGCTTTGGGAAACCATTGCTCCCTAATCAGCAGTCTGGATAAACTGCGTAAAAACGAGATTTGACTCTTGGTCCTGGCTCCACTGCTTGAGCAGAAGCGCCTTTTAGCAAGTTCAGTTGGTCTTTCACCCCTCCTCACATCAAAACTGCCCTTCTCATCCCATCTTGGGTGCTCGGTATTGCTTGATCTAATGACAGTGAAAGCTCAAAGCACAGCCTCTTCAGCAAGTTAGGAAACACGCATGCTGAACGTCTGGAAATCTGTATTCCTTTTTACTCCTCTAAGTTTTAGTGGATATAACCAGCTCTCATGTAAGAAACTCTGTCTAAGCCCTTGTTAATTATCAGAGGGAAAGAAGTCCCGGCCACTCTCACCGGCCCCAGATGGCGGGCAACACCACCTTCGGTTATGGAGCCCTTATCAACATGCACAGAGGCGGCCTGATGCACACGTGTCTAATTTAAGTACGACAGGATGCATTCCTTACGTAGCGCCCGGACAGGAAAGGGACACAGCTGGGCTCCAAGAGCCATTACACACCCGTGAGAGCCACTGGGAGGGCAGAGGACGAGGAAGTGAGAAAGGACAGAACAATCCGGCACAGAGCAGCCGTAAAAGGCGCTCGGAGGCTTGAGCGCCCCTTTCAAACTGGGCTGGGCCTCATGCGAGGAGTTTGGCCAGGCCTGGGGCTGCTGTAGAGCGGCAGCCACCAACCGGCCTGGCAGCCCAGGGTCTGTGGCCCAAGCCGGGCTTCTCTCCACTGCTTCCAGTGGCTTGTGCCAAGTTGCCAACTGTCTCTGGGCTTTACGTTCTTCGGCTATAAAACAGCAACATGGCCAACATGCTGACATCTCAGCCATTCCGCCGGAATCAAACAAATTGACCCTGTTCGGCCCCTGTGACCTTCCAAATGACTTGGATGACCATCTTCCCCAGTCACTCAGTGGGGCACTGAGGACCAGCTCATCCGTGGTATGGGGACATACTCCAGGGAAGACCTCAAACCCACCCGAGAAACTTCAGGAAAAGGGGGCCCTTTCGACGCTTCCCAGTCACCCCGACGGCTTGGAGTTGCACAGAGCCATCCTGAGCCTCACTTCCCCACCAGACCCGGAGGCCAGCCCAGCAGGGTCACTGTGGGGCGGGCCAGGCTGCAAGACCACCGCCGCACTCACCGACTGACTGAAGGCTGAGATCTAGCACAGTAACATACATCCACCCAGATGCAGAATTTATATAAGCCAAAGTATTGTTGGGTTTTGTTTTCCTTTCCCTTTTTCTTTAAAATGTTAAAGCTGTTAACTATTAGCACTTATTGTTTTCTCCCAAAGCATTTTTTTTTTGAGGAAAAATGAGGAAAAATAATCTTCCTCCTGCCCACCTTTCTGTTCACCTCCTGTTTTCAATTCTCTATTGGCTACTAAAGGAAAAAAAAAAACATCGTTTCAGTACAACCTAGGAAGTCTTGCAGCTGGTCTCTGAGGCCTTGGGCATGGGCATGCATTTTTACAAATACGTATGCATTTTCTCTTTCTACACTAAAAGACAACCTTCACTCCCAAAGCTACTATACACCTCCCAAGTTATCAGCCAGCCTCAGAAGCAGGAAGAGGCCAGGTCTGTCGACCTCTCTGTCATCTGATACAAAGTCATCCCCACGCTGCACAAAGCCACTTACCTGAGCGCTTTACTCATGGCAGAAATAGACTGCTGGGAGACTGAATCACGCCCGCCCACCTGGAGGCGGGGCTGGTGTGCCCTGTGGTCCTCAGACACCTGTCATCGCACAGGGGCTAGAAAGCCCTGAGCAGGCTGTGGAAGAGGTTGGGAGCCACACTGCCCACACGACATTCTGAGGGGGTGCTATTGGCTCCCACTCGGGGACCCGACTCTCATCCCCGATCCAGAGCTTTGAGACTGAGACCCCACACAGACCGCACGGCATGTCACGCGGACACCACAGGCACTTTCTGTACCTCGTTACAAGCAGCCTTCCGCTCCTCAGCAGTTGGTACAACGGTGAGAATGAACTGAATCCATAAACATATAGTGATCGCCCTGTGTGCCAGCACTGTAAGAAACTCTGCAGTGAACACAAAAGAAGGAGCAACTGAGGTACAGCTTCAGGCCCCTGAAATCCAAGGTGGAAAGTACAGAACTAGAAGCAACAGGAGGCAGGATAAAAGCACGCACAGGATGTGCAGTCATTACTAAGCTGTCCTAACTCTCAGCCAACTTGTCCATAAGCACCTTCTTCCAAGTTCACGGTGGGCGTTTCTGGGAAACATGGCTGATAAGAGACTTAAGCCCGAGACAGCCGTGGACCCAAGTGCGAGTTGTGAGGGGTAAGGTTAAAGAAAAACGGCTTTAAATCCTCTGCCATTCCATGCTCCCCTCTGAACCAGCCCCGTCAGTGGATATACCTCTTGCCCCTCGCCAGAGAAGAGGTTCTGACTTGGCAGCACAAGCCTGCTTCTATCACACTGCACGTGAAGGGGGCGATCGCCTTCGCTTTTACTCAGTAACCAAGGTATTAGATGCTCTGGATGGTAAGGACAAAAGGAACGAAACCCTTCCTACTCTTTGCCTGAAAACTGTCAACTGACATGGAAGATCCTTCCTGTGAAAAGGTGTCCTCTAACCATGAATGTCTCGTTCAGCCCCTTCAGACTTAATTCACTCCCTTTTTTGTTTGCTTGTTTGTTTCCTTTAAAGACAGGTCCTTTTCTTGCTGGTTACACACAGTTTGACAACACGCTGGATGCAAGCAGAGCCTTCCTTCCCCAGTCGGAGCCCAGTCCCAAAACAGCATTGAAGACAAACACAGTTTTATGAAGTGATGACAAAGGTTTCCTCGAGGTCATAACCGTCTGGATGAGAGTTGCAGGCTCCTCTCCCATGCTGGCTCTGTGGCAAGCTGCCGAAATTCCCTCTTTTTAACCCTCCTGTTCCCCCAGCCAACCCGCCCCGTTGTTGCTGTTGCGAACACCCACAGACGTGGCTTTACAGGGACAGGGACCCACATCAGGGCCAGGGTGCATGCCAGGGAAACGTGGGTTGGGAGCCAGTGGAATCACACAGATATACAAGAAAGGTGTCCTTCTTCCCAAACGAAGGGGAATACAGACCTCTTTCAACTCTGTAATAGACAAACTATTGAAAAATATTAATAAGAAAGCCTAATGTACTAGGAGTGTGTGCTTGACATACACTAGCTTTTGCGGAGTTTTTAATGATTCTTAGAAGAGGCAATATCAAGAGATATTATACAAAAGAACAAGGAAGCCGAGTACCGAAACGCAGTGCCTGGCATGACAGAATTCGTTCACTCACCACCATCTCCCGAAGGCCCTATAGCCGGGCCCTGTGCTCAGCGCTGCTGGAACACCCCACGCCTCGGTGGGTGCTGGGCACATAACAGCGCCCCTGTGCCTCGCCCCACCTCTCCCTCCCTAGCCCCAGCCAGCTTTGAGGCGTTGCACGATTTTACTTACATACCCCAAACCCCCAAATCCAGTGAGTTCCCGCTGGAGCTTACCCTGCCTCGGACGTCCTGGCAGCAGAGGCGCTCTGGGGCTCTCCGTGGGCTCTCAGTGCACGGCGGTCATTTTCAGAATTACTCACACGTCCTGTCCCCAGAGACGCTTTGCTGTGTGGGATGGCGTCACACCCATTCAGCAGGCCCGTTCTCGCTCTTGTCCTCGCTGGCTGGCGCCCCTCATGCTGATCCTCATGTGGTGCTGGGAGATCTCTCGATAGTTTGTATCCATGAGAAATCAGCAGGTCTTCTACGCTGTACATACTGCCCTGGCCGCATCAAAGCTTGGGCACGGGGACCGTCGTGGTGGCAGGGCCCACACTGAGGGACAAGAGAGTGTTGGTGAGGACTCGCCCTTTCTTCCCGCAACTGCGTCTCACATGGCCCCCTCCCTTCAGCCCCAACTAGACCCTGGTTACTAACACGGTGTGGCTAACAAAGTGAAGAGGTGGGGACTGTCGTGCCTCAAATTACTCTCTGTCTTATTCAAGCAGAGAGTGAGCATGCGGCAGGGGCTCTGCAAGATATGGTGGTAATTCTGGGGACCCCACCCGCTGACGGCTGCCTCTTGTAGAAGAGTCCAGGGTAGTGTTTAAGCAATAAAACGATTGACAGTTTCGCCATCCCCTTGTCCCAGTCATCTGAAAACAACAGGCATAAGGAGAGAGGGCAAAATAAATACAGACTCAGAAGCTGCAATTACTACCTCACGTTTCTAAAAAGAGAAACTACCATTGTCCAGCTTAATCTTATACTCCCCTGCTCTCATTTTATAGACATACCTTTTGCTCTAAAAAGGCAGAGTGAGATCTTTAACCAACACAAAGCCACGACACACTTCAGCATGATACGCTGTAGCAAGGGCAGCTATACCAGTGAGGCTCACTAGCTGCTGAAAATAGATCTTAAGTTTTTAGGCTCATACTGAGAAAACATGGCACACGGATCAAGCATACATGCCCGAACACTACACAATCCCAAACTTCTCCTTCCCATCTGAAACTTTTAAGAATCAAATTTCTCACCAATAAATCATGGGGAAACGTTTTGCATCTCTGGGCCAAGGGTGTCCACATGCAAATCCTGCCATGACACATTAATTCACCGGCAGCTACTTCCCTGAGTAAACTCTCCTAAGACCACTGTACCAACAAAAAAGAATAAAAATGGACAGGAACCTACGTGAGAGCACGTGTGTGAAAATAGGTGGGGCTGCCATGTTTATTTTTAAACGAGAGAATGCTCTTTCCTCGTCTTCCTATTGTTACAGAGAGAAAGGCAGTTTGGTCGGATGGGTCTGCTCCCCAGAGGTTGTGACACTGGCCTGGGCAAGAAGTACACCAAAGCCAGGCTTCTAAGAGCTCGGCCAGCTCTAGCCCCACTTCACTGGTGGACAGAAATAGTGTTGCCGCAGTCCCCTGGAACAATGGCCAGGAAATGCCTGCTGGCCCGTGTGCAGGTGGAAGGGAGGCGCACGTGCTTCCTGTCAGGGGGATTCTCACTGGGGCCCATTGACCGATTCTGCTGACTGCGCATGTCCTCACTCCAGCACACGCAGCAGGAAAGTCTCGGTCATCAGCATGGAGGGCTATCAAACTTCGGAAGGCTATAATTTTCTATTAGGTACCTACATTTCATGGGAGGTTGACGAGCTCTGGCAGTTACTGCACTAGTAGAAAAATCTCCATCGCAATTCTGACACTCCCTGACACTCCTGCTGTATGTGTTTTAGGGAAGTGTACAACTTGGGTCATTCACTTAGACAGAAATAGAAGAAGCAGAGAGCAAATATTTGTTTTTTGATTCAACTGAGCAAGTCACTGGGCTAGCGACTGCAGAGGAAAGAGATTCCATTACAAACACAGGGCTATGGGAACATGGAGGCAAGACTAGGAAGGCAGGGTCTTTGTTTAACAATTTGCCCCCAGCGCTAGTATATAGTATGCTCTCCATAGATAACTGTTTAGTGAATGCACAAAAATGAGGAAAAAAGGACATTTGAGCTAGGTTTTGAAGGATGATCACTAGATAAACCGCAGGTGCATATTTACGAAAGAGAGAATTGACATTTAAAATAGATTTGGGGTACAATTATCCCAGAAGTAAAGAAATGACATAACAACAATCCTGGTAGCCTAGACTGGGGTCCTTGGACTCATTGGCTCAATGTCACACATCCAGTCAGCACTATAAAGTTAGAGTCTGGGTCTTGTGACACCTGTTTTCTCTCTTTTACTACGTCAGGCTCTTTTAAAGCCAGTGCACCACACTCTATACACAGAGGGACAGGCCAGTGTCTACCACAGACCTGGCTGTGCTGCAGTCCACTGTCAGATGTAAGAAATGACCCTCACAAAACATGTATGTGGCTCATTTCCCTACTGGGGTTAGGTAAGTTGATCCCTTAAGAGCTATCACTTGACCTAGAGGTCTGAGGTCAAAAGCACACTGATTACTGTAAATTCCTAACTTTATCAGCTCACGGAGGCCAGAGCTTGTGTGCCAGCCTCAACACGCAGGACTTGAAGCCGGGCGGGAGAGGCAAGAAGGGGAGGGGAGGACGCACAGGCCCATAACCCAAACGAGTGCTCTCAGACACTGCTCGGCCCACGGAGGACATCGCTCCCTCAGGCTCACATCCTTCGCCTTCTTGATCCCAACTCAGAGTCGGCTCTGCCCTCCTCTCCGCACCCACGCTAAACGTCACCTGTCCCCTTAGATGGACTGATAACCCATCACGCGGTTTCTCTAATCCCCATCATATTCCGCTTACTTTCTTCAGGGTCCTCTCTACTTAAGGTGGAGTGGGCTGCCTCACTAACAGGTTGAGGCCACCAGGAGGGGACCCTGAGGGGATGGGGAGGAGCGAGGCATCTAATGCGTTACTGGACTAAACGCTGTGCCTTCTAAAGTTTCTTTCCAATCCTGAGATGCCAGCACTCCACGTCAACAGTATTTAATTAAACCACCCACCAACCAACTCAAAGTGTCGCTGGAAAGACAAATGCACACCAAAAATAATAAATATCTGTTATTATAACAGTCGATTTCGCAACTTGGCAGACATGTGTGCATTTCAAATAGCACAGTATCAGGTGTGATCCTTCTAACCCCAGCGCTGCTGCTGGTATCCAGCCCCAGCTGTGCTCCCTGGAGCACGTCGTTAGCCATACCAAACTTCAGTTCCCTGATCTGCAAAATGGCGATGCTGCCATCTTCCTGTCTCAGCAGACTGTTTGAGGGCCAAATAAGAATACGTAAAAGTGGAAAGCACCACGCAAATGTAAGATTGTGGATTTATTATGCTACACTGGCTCTAGTTTGTCACTTGCCTTATGGAAAGATTTCACGTTAGCTGTTAATTTTCACCATGTAGTTTAGACCATTTCTTAACTCCTTTGGTATCATTTGGGATGCCACTCTTGATTTCCAAAGTCATGCCCTCTTTATAGCATCCACATCTGTTGTCTTTTGTGAATGGATACTCCAATCTCCACTTAAGTCACTTAGAACAGTAAATGTTATTTTATATGGTCCAAAACATTAACGCATAATTCATGAGTACGAATAATGCACCAGGCACTGAAACCATAATAATGAATAAGACATGTTCTGCGCCTTTAAGAATCTTACTGTCTTGCTGTAGAGACAGCTGGAAAACAAGCAATGAAAATGTGGCATATACATGTATTAGTGACAGAAGCTAGCCACCTCTCCATAGTGTCATAGCACTATGACAGGGATAAGGACAGGCTGACATGGAAGGGACCCTTACCCAGTCTCAAGGGATCAGGAAGATCCCTTCCAAGCTTCTGGAAGATGGCTTCTAACCAAAACCCCTCTACCTCAGGGTAGACCTGCACACTAAGGTCACCTATAAGATGATTTTATAACCAGTTCATTTAAGAAATTTTTCCTTCACTACTTTTGTTTGTTGCCTTGTCTCAAATACTGATTGTGGGCATTTAGAAGTCAAGCCAGTGCAGGTGCCTAGATACAGTCTCAGGTAAGCAAGGGACTTCTAGCACTGGCTGAGTCAGGACACAACGATGAGAGAAAAACGAGCCCACTATAAACCTCGGGTTCATTCTATGAATGTCTAAATGCCATTAATGCAGAGGAAACACTTACTATAAGAACAAAGACGTTTACAGAACAATTCATCCATCGAGGCACCGCTGCCTCTGAAGGTGTGGAGTCCCTAGCTGGGAGGTTCTTAAGCACAGGTTGATTTGGAAACTTCTTTCTTTTTACAGCCACCACTGAAGGTGTGTACACACACATCAATCACAACTTTAAAGGCAAAATATTCACCCTCACATCCTGATATGTACTGATATGTACTGTAATCTTTTCTATTCTATTTCACTTTAAAATGCTAGTGACCACCCGATGAACTTCATGGCACTCTAGTAGGTCATAGCCTGCAGTTTGAAAAGCAATATTATAGAAATCATTCCTGTGCTGGTCAGTGTGCTGGACTAGATGACCTCTGAAATTTCAGCAAGTTCAAAGATCCTATCGATCTATGAGAAATTCCTTAGTATAACAAGTTCATTGCTCTGTTCTCAACAGAAAATACGACTGTGCTATCCTATCAAAACTGTTCTTTCCAAGAAAAGGCATAACTACTAAATGAAGCTATTTTCCTATTCTTAAGGGTAGAAAATGAAAAAGAAATAAATCTCAAGGGAAAGTACTGTATTCTGTTTCCTTCCTCACTCTACTATGACTTACGAGGGACTTGACAGCCGAGGCTTGGGCACACTGCATCACTGGCTGACAGATAAACCAGCACTGTGGAAACAAAGAGGGAAGGCACTGGTCCCTTGACATGAAATAGACCTGCGATGCTGCCACTTTCATTCTCTTTGGGTTGAGGAAGCCGGGACATAGCTTTCTGTTTCTTTTGATGTCACTACTGTGCTTTTCATGTTTTCCTACTATTCTCTGGCCCATATATTCCTAGAGTAAGTCCATCATCTCAAAAACAAAACCTATAAAAGCAGTTGAAAAACTCTACCACCACAATAAAAACCTAGTTGAAAGAACACGTTATCCTAATGGATCTTGTTCTCCAGGTGGCATGTGTCCAGCTGTTTCCCCTCACCGCGGGTGGACAGTGCTTGCAGACTTTCTCCCACACAAGCGTAGACAGGGTGGCAGGGCACAATAAGAAGAACGTGCATGCGCTTTGATGTCAGAATGACCTAGGTTTCCATCCTGGCTTCCACTGGGTCGGTGGCCCTTATGAAGTTACTTAACTTCCGAGCCTCAGTTTTCTCATGTGTAAAAACAGATGGATCTGCCACTTTATTCCA